GACGGCCGGGGCGTGCGCAGACCCAACGGGCCGACGCTGCTCAAGCGGCGCCTCCTCGCGGCGGCCGGCTGGCGGGTGATCAGCGTTCCATTCTTCGAGTGGGACGCCTTGCCGACGGCCAGCGAGCGACAAACCTACCTGGAGAGGGCGGTCGCCCTGTCGGAGTAAGCTACGGTCCAGTATACAGCGGGGAAGGAAAGTAAAATGTGCAGCGCTCTACTTGGAGGAGCCCTCGATCTTGGGAATGAGAGTACACACTGTCGCGCCCTTTTGCTTGATGTGAGCAAACCAAACGGTGAAAACGAAAAGTAGCCTCTGTACGTCGTAGAGCCGTACACACATCTTGGCTCTCACAGGGCCTGCAAGAACAGAGATGCTCGCGCGCCCGTGTACCGTATAAGCCCCGTAGCCGTATCACGTAGCACACACCCAGAAGGACGTCCCAACGGCCGAGGAACAGGAGGGGTCCGGGGAGCCTCCCCGACAGCTCACTGCGGCTTTGCCTTCGCCCACGCCTTCTCGCTCGGCTTGCCCTCGCCGTAAAACTCGACGAACTCGGCGCAAGTGTAGAGAGCTGGCCCTCGCGCCGCTCCGCATCGGCGTCAACCGGGCCGTCGCCGGGCTCGCCGCCGTCGTGACCTCGGGGGTCGGCGGGGGCGCGGCGCATGGTGCCGCTCGCAGCAGCGAGGGCAGGCTGGGGCCTGGTGAGAGTCGGACGATGCAGCGGCCTCCGGCTGCTTTTGGTGAGCGTACTGGCGATGTCTCGCACAGCGCTGTCGGCGGGGGTGGTAAGGTCGACGTCGATGCGTGCATGTCGGCAAGAGGGGCAGAAGCGCGATGAGGACTGATCCTCTGGGTTGGCGGTCGTGGCAGGGGCGCCAGGGAGAGCCGCCCCGGGAGGCCTGCCTGGAGGCCTGCAAGAGGCGAGCTTGAGAGCAGCAGAGGCGGTGGCCACGCCGCTCGCAGCCGAGAGCTGCTGGAGGCAGGCGCCAGCAGGCGGTGCCAAGTCGTTGGAGGGAGGGGGGAGGAAAGGGTGGGCTGGCGGCGGCGCAGTTGGGAGGGCGGCGGAGGCGAGCGGGTGCAGCAGGAGCAGCACCGTGAGGAACTTTCTCGGAAAGGGCACTCCGGACGGGGCCATGGCGGGCGGGCCGTGGCGGGCGGGCCTGGAGGGAGGTGTCACACCCAAGCAGCCAGGTGGGTTGCGAGGGTGCATGCTCCGCCGCGCGCCTCGGGCGCGCGGCGCAGCGGCAGATCTGCCTGTTCCATCATGGAAAGCAGCGTCGCTGTTTGGCACAATGGAAAGAGCAGTTGGTCCGTCGTCGGCCGTGCCGGCGACCGTGGCCGGCGCAGTGGCGCCGGAGCGTGGACCGGGTGGCGCAGTCGCGCCAGCCGAGCCCTGGCCCGCAGGCTGGGGCTCGGGCTGCCAGTCAGCGGTGCTGGTGGCAAAAGCGCTGCTTGGCACAAAGCAGCCCGCGCAAGCGAGCAAACTTCGTACCACTTGGACAGACGGGTCGGGCGGGTCCATGTCCTCCATGCTGCGGCGTCGGGTGGGCTTTAGCGCGATCCTCTGGGCGCAGGTACGTCGACGGCTCGCTGGCGAGTGGACAAGGGCGGAACTCGTGCAGCCACAACTTCTGGGCCCAGGCTGCGGCTGGCCGCTGCCTCCCCGGCGCGGCCAGATAACCGTCGATTCGGCAGACGCAGGCCAGACGATGTCGAACAGCGGCTTCTCGCCGCTGGTTTGCCTCGGCACCGCCGCCACGGGGCTGCTGCTCCTCGCCTATCAGCTCCAGCCGGCGCCGGCGCCGCAGGTGCAGCGTGCTCCCGCAGCCCTCGGCGCGACAGCCAAGGCACGGCCATCCAGCATGCAGTCAGCAGCGACCGCCTTGCCGGTCGGGTCTCCGCCGCCGATTGGCGCCGCCGGGCTCTCCGCCTCGTACCGCGACCACCTCAGCGACTCCGCGCTCGCAGTGCTCAATCGCGAGCGGGCAAAGGCGGCCGGGCCGCGGCACGCGGCCGCCTTCCGCGTGTACGTGCCCTCTGTGCCGGGCGACCGCGTCGGCGGCGACCTCGAGGAGCCCGACACACTGGCTCGCGCCGTCGCGGCGTCTGCCGCCGACGGCGAGGTGATGCTGCTGTGCGTGGGCGGGTCGGGCGCGATGCGGACGGGGCTCAACCTTGTGCTCAACTTCCGTGCGATGGGCCTCTACCACATGCTCGTCCTCGCCCTCGAACGCGACGTCTGCACCTCCCTCTGGGACGCCCTCCCCTCGCTGGCCTGCGTGTGGTGGCCGCGCCGGCTCGAGGCGCCCAGGTGTCGCGCCTCGTGCAGGCGGTAAAGGAGCTGTGGACGGCGTCTCTT